GGGCTATACCTGTGTAAAATGAGCTCTGGTGGCACAGTGCTTAGAGTTTGGCTGCTAACAGAAAGTTGGCGGTTTGAATCCGCAGGAGAAAGATGTGGCAGTTTGATTCCCTAAAGGTTGTTGTTGTTGTTGTCAGTCCCCACTCCTAGCACCTTGTGTCTCACAGAAGGAAACTTTACCTGGTTCTGTACCATCCTCACATACAGAATCACTATGAGTGAGAACTGACTGAATTCAACAACGAAGACATGATAGCCCTGGATACCTATGAGAGGGGCAGTTAGACTCTATCCTAGAAGATCACCTGGAGGGCAGGGGGGGCACACCTGTAGATGTAATCCAATCCCATTTGGGAATGGGTCTTCTTTGTTGTGTTAATGATACCACATATGAATGTCTTAGACCTAATTATTTTTGAGACATAAAAAGAGATTAGATCTAGAAACCCTAGCTAGCAAAATGGATCAACACTTGGCACTAACCAAATGTCAAGTGGTTCCAACCCCACTAGTGGCTCCTGAAGAAGCTCTGCCAGCACAGTGGTTACCCGTCGGGCTGCTAACCTTACAGTCAGTGGTTCAAAACTACCAGCAGCTCCGAGGGAGAAAGATGAAGCATTCTGCTCCCATAAAGATTTACAGCCTTGGAACCCCTACACAGATTTCTGAGGCAGAACCAACTCCACGGTACATAACCACCACCACCAGCGAGTCCCAGGAAGAAAAGATCTAGCGATCTGCTCCTGGAAAAAGAGGACAACCTAGTTCTACTCTGTCCTATAGGGTTGGAGTGCACTGGCTAGTACTCAACAGCACAACACAGAGAGGAGCAAGCAAAGACAAGGAGGAGATCCCTAAGAGACTCCCGGACCACTAGAGAAGTTGAGAAAAGAATTCTCCAAAGAGAGCCTTCCCCAGAGCTGACACCCTGAATTTAGACTTCTGTTGTTATGAAGTGCTGTCAAGTCGGTTCCGACCCATAGTGACCCTGTATAGGGTTTCCGAGGAGTGGCTGGTGAGCTTGAACCACTGACCTTGCAGTTGAAACAACTTTGCAGTCCGGGGCATTAACCTACAGCACCACACCTCCTAAATATGAGATGAGGTTTTCTGATTCAGAAAAAACAACAACAAAAAAAAAAACACAACGCCCTGGAAACTCTGTACAGGGTCGATATGAGTTGGAACCAGCACTTCACAACATCAACAAACTCTGAAAAAATATTTTTAATCCCACCCACTTATGGTATTTCTATTACAGCAACACTAGGAAACAAAGATTAGTAACCAAGTGCTTAACCCCTTTCTGCCACCTTCATGGAGAGGGGAAAGAAGACGATGAAACCATTTATAGGGTATTGAACTCCCTGGTTGAAAAACTGCACCACTGTCCTGGGGGCACTAGGGAGCCATGGGAGGTCTAGGAGCCAGAGAGGGGCAGGATCAGCTCTGGGGTCAGGTGGGAGAGGCTGACTGAAGGGAAGATACTGAAGGCTGGGCTGAGGGTCCAGGGCTGTAGGAACAGAGAAGGGGCAGGACAGAGACCATCAGGGGTCAGGGGCTCCTGTGTGTTGGTCTCTCAGCCAGGTAGTGTTGAGGATCCAGAGGTCTGATTTGGGGCTAATGCACCTGCCTTGTACCAGTGAACTGTGTATTGAGGTGGGGAGCAGACACCAAGGGAACCCCAGGAGGCTTGCTGGGAAGAACCTCCCAGGCTGAGAGGGAGCCCTGGGGTCCCCCACCTGACGCTGGGTCTCCAGGTCCGCCTTGTTCCCAACCAACACGATGGGAAAATCGTCCCGATCCTTGACACGGAGGATCTGCGTGAAGAGCTTGCTTACTTCGTTGAAACTGGGGGGTAAAGGGGTGGGGGGGAGACATGAGAGGTTAGGAGCCAAGTGCTTAAGTGTTTGTGCCACCCGGGGACAGAACCCCACGTTGTTGCTCTTGAGCTGATTTTGACTCATAATGGACAACTGTCCCATAGGTTTCCAATGGCTGTCATCTTTATGGGAGCAGACTCCCCCACGTGCAGCATCAGGTGGATTCTACCAGCCGACTTTGTGGTTAGCAGCTAAATGCTTTAACCATCGAGCCACCAGGTCTCCTCTCCATGAAGATGAAACCAAATTCCACTGCCATCAAGTTGATTTCAATTTACAGGGTTTCAAGGCTGTAAATCTTTACAGGAACAGACTGCCTCATCTTTCTCCCTTGGAGTGGCTGGGAGGTTTGAACCTCTGACCTTTCCATTAGCAGCCGAGTATTTAACTACTGTACCACCAAGGCCCCCTTCCCAGAAACAAGAAAGGAATGGAATCATACAGGGAATTCAACATTGGGTTGAAGACCTAGGACTGTATCCTGGGGAGCTTAAGGAGTCCTCAGAGGTCTGTAAGCAGGAGAGGGGCGGGGTCAGCTCAAGGGTTAGGTGGCAGGCCTGGTTGACTGAACGGGAGGCCTGGTCCGTCCCTCCCCACTCTATTCCTTACCAGCCCTCACCTCTGTCTGTCGTTGATGGCATATACCAGCAGGAAGCCGTGACCAGCACGCATGTATTGCTCTCGCATGGCACCAAACTCCTCCTGGCCTGCGGTGTCCAGGACTGTGGGGACAAGCGAAACAAGGCTCCCTCTGCCCCAGCCACCCTCATGGACCCTCAGCCCTTCTGCCTCCCACCTCCCACCACCACTCTGTGCTATCCTCACTGTCCAGCCGGGCTGGGATGCCATCCACTGTGCAGATCTTGGTGTAGGAATCCTCGATGGTGGGATCGTAGTCAGACACAAAGTAGGACTGGTTGGGGTGGGAAGGGCACTGTTAACTGTATTACCCCACAGAGGGGATGTACCCTGCCCTGAGGACCCCTTCTGTCCACCTCTCTCTGGGTCTGGGTCCCTCCTCTCTGTTCTTTGGATCTCTGTTATCCCCTGTCTCTCGGTCCCACTCTCTGGGTCTCTGTTTTCCTCTATCTGGATCTCTGTCCCCCTCTCTTTCTTTTCCTCCCCTCCCCCCAGGTCTCTGCTCTCCCAGGCATCCTAAGTCTCTCCTCTTTTCTCTCAGTCTCACATTCTCTGTGTTTCTGTGTCCCCTCTCTCTCTGGGTCTCCATCCCCTTCTCTGGGTCTGTGTCCCCTCCCCCCCCAATCTGTGTCTCCCTCTCTCTGAGTCTTTGTCCCCACCCCCTTTGAGTCTCTATCCCCCCTTTCTCTTGGTTTCTGTATCCCTCTCTCTCTCTGGGTCTCTATCCACCCCCCATCTTTGTCCTCCCCTCTCTCTAGGTCTCTGTCCCCCTCTCTCTCTGGGTCTCTTTCTAGGTCCCTTTCCACTTCACTGTCTGGGTCTCTCTTTCCCCCTCTCTGGGTCTATGTCTTTATCTTGTCTCTGTCCCCCTCTCTCTGGGTCCCTTTCCCACTTTCTTTCCTTCCCTACCCTCCCCCCAGGTCTTAGCTCTCCCACGCTTCCCAAGTCTCTTCCCTTTTTTCTGAGTCTCTCTCTCTGTCCTCCTCTCTTTCTGGCACAAACTACATCTCTCATTGTGATTACTTCCTGGTTGTGTGACATTGCTGGAATCACTTCCCCTCTCTGAGCCTCAGTTTCCTCATTTAGGAAATAAGGATAAGAGTAATCTGACATTTAATCCAGTACTGGGAGAGTCTGGGAAAAGCACTTTAACTGGTACAGTAAGACCTCAGTTATTGGAAGCGCTCCTTGAATATGTACCCGCTTGTTTCTTCTTCCTCCTCCCCCCCACCTCCTCAAGTGGCCTCCAGCTTCTCCTCCCAGGGGAAGGTCCTGGTTCCAGTCCGGCCATGGAGAGGCTGCCCCGCCCGTGGTCTGAGCCCCTCCCTTCCTGCCTGGGTCCCTCTTGAGCCAGCCTAGCCTTTGGCCTGCTCTGGATCAGCCCCTGGATGCCAGAGCCTGGAGCTGGGGCTTTCTGGACCTAGGAAGAGGCTCTCAATGCAGGAGCTTACTGGGGTCTCCTGAGGGGTCTGGGGTCCCAGGAATTTCTGCAGTGATGGATCTCAGGGGCAAACCCCTTTCATAGTTTCTCTCATATGGTGAGGGATTCTCTTTAGAGTTACATCAGTAGCGAGAAGGGGTAATCTCTTCTCAGTTCCCCAGGGAACTGAGGGCTGTAAGGCTGTGTCTTGGTTGTTAAGGGGTCCTTGGTGAGGGCTTGTCCAAAAGCCAGGGTGCAGGGACCAGGTCCTGGGCAGGTTGCAACCCGGGACGGCAGGGGTGAGGGGTGGTATTAGGGTAGTGAGCTTAAGATCAAGGGTGAGAACTGGAGTTGAACCTAGAAATGGCTCCTAGCAATATTCTGTTGTCCAATATAGGTATGTGCCCAAACAGTTTTTGAGACCGTGAGATGTAGTTAAAGGCTCACACAAGGTCTTTTGGGGGTGGTGCCAGCTAACAGGGTACTTCACTCACAGGAATGATTTAAGGGGCATCAAGGGAGAGAGAAGAGTGTAGGGGACACTCAAAATGGAGAAGAGGTTGGATTTCTCTGGGGAGGAGATCTGAGTCTGGCAGAATGGGGGTTGCTAGGACTTAGGGTCTTGGACTTCTCTGAAGTTGGCCAAGAGGCAGAATCTTTTGAAATCTTTTGGTCTGAGGGGAAAGGTTCTCAGGGCAGGGGCTGAAGGATACTTTTCTCAAGGACTAGCTGGCCCCCAGAAAGAACGAGGTCTGGGTGTCATTTCTAGAAGTTGAGGCTGAAAGACAGAGGCATACCGTCAAGAGAAGTTCTGAATAGGTTAGAAAAGATAGGGTGCAGAGGTTGGGAGAGATGGAGCTTAGGGAGGAAGTGGTGACAATGCTGGATTCGGGGTGACCCAAGGAGGCGTCAGGGAAAGACCAGCAGAAAAGCGGGGTCCTGAGTACTAGGGGTGGGGGAGGGAAGGTAGGTCTCAGGATGCAAGTTTAGGAAGAAGGTCCCGCGCGTGTCGAGGGTGGAGGCCATCAACAGGGCTCAGGGTCACAATCTGTGGGGCTCTTTTAAAATTAGATGGCTTCATAGGAGCTTCTCAGTGATGGGTTTTAGGGAAATTAGGGTCTGGGGGGCACCCCCCAGGGTGAGGGCCCACTACCTGGATGAACTGGATGGTCAGCGCGCTCTTGCCCACGCCGCCGCCGCCCACGACCACCAGCTTGTGTGTCTCGCTGGGTGGGGGGTCCCCGGGCCCAGGCCCCCCGCCCCGGGGCCGCCCCCGCCCCGTCCCGGTCGCCGCCCCGCTGCTCATGTCGCCACCGCTGCCGCCGCCGCTACCGCCTGGGGGGGAGCCGGGCGGGGCCTGGGGCGGGCTATGCTAACGAGTTAATGTATATTCATGAGCCCCGTCTTAAGGAGGAGGCAAAGCCCGGGAGGAGGAACTATGCTAATCAGAGGCAAGGAAACCTAGTTCGACACTGAGGGAAAATCTGAAAGGGGCGGACACATGCTAATGAGTGAATTTTGCTCTCTTTAAACTGCGCTTTGCGCTCTCAGCCGGCAGGCCGCCTGGGGCGGGGCGGGAAGCTACTTTGGGGCGGATCTATGCAAATCAGGATCCCTGTGTGGTGGCTTTTCCCGACACCCTCCCTAAGTCCTTATTCGGGGAAGCGAGGCTGGCCGATTCGCACAGGGCCGTATATAGGCGCGCTCCGAGGAAGGCTTGGATCCTGAGGGAAAACGCCACCTCCCACCTGGGACACGAGCCAAACTCCCGACCCGGGCGTCTGGGCTGCATGCTGGCGTCTCTACTTGCTAAGGGACCCAAGCTTCCGGTTCCCGCTGTCCCAGCCAAACGGAAGATAGACTGGGAGGGGGAGCTGAGGCCCAGGAGGGGGACAGCCGGGTAACGGGCCTGGGAGGAGCCGTGAGATCACTGCATTCCTAACCCATGAGCCAGCTCGCCAAGGCCCGGACGCCCGGGTCATGAAGTGTTTGTGGCCAGGATTTCTGGCTCCTGGAAGAAAAGGAGCTGAGAGCCCAGACTCCTGGGTTCCTGGGAGAGGAAGGGACTGGAGGCTTGGATTCTTGGGCTCTGGGAACGATGTGGACGGCGGGTCCTTACTTTAGGCTTGGTAAAGGAAAGAGTAGGGTGCCCGAATTCTTGAGTCCTGGAGTTGAAGAAGCTGGGGGCCCGGAATACTGGGGTAGGGGAGCCCGGACTTGTGTCCATGTAAAGTGCGAGCTGGGGCATTCCCTGTTTTCAGAGAGAAGGGGCTTGAGGGGCGGAACGCTAAGTCTAACAAACAGGTCTCTTAACTCCTGATACTGAAGGAGGAGGAAACGTAAACCTGGAGTCCTCTGCTCTAAATCGGAGGAATAGGGGTACTAATGAAGAGGAGGCTGTAGGGATGGGGCCCTTGGTTCTAAATTTGGAGGGAACTAGGTAATCGGGATTCCAGGATCTCAAGAATATGCGCAGGAGTGAGCCTCTAAAGAGTTGGATGCTTTTTCCCTGCTCACTCTGAGGAACTAACTACAATTCCCTAGCATCTTTTTTTTTTTAATCCGGCTGAGTACCTCTTACGCCACTTCCTGTTCCGCTACCCTTTCCGCGCGCGCGCAGGGCACTGTGGGGGGGGGGGGCCTCATCGCGGGCTCCTGAAGCTACGCCCACTTCACCTCTCACCGTCTTGCTGTCCCTGCGTGACGGTAGCGACGCGCGGACTACGCCTCCCGGCGTGCATCGCGCGAAGCCAGCCTGAGGGTTGCATTGCCTGCTGGGAAGTCGAGTCCGGACGCTTCCCACCAGCCTTCACGGCACCGTGCTCAGTACTTGCAATCCCGGCAAGCTCGGCGGTGCCTTAGCCCCTCCCCTCCCCTCCTCTTCGGCTTCCGAGCCCCGCCCCGCCCCGCGCCGGGGCCGGAGCCGCAGCCCGAGCGGCGGGGTAAGATGGCGGCGGTGCCCGGGCCCGCGGAACTCGGGCCTATTAGGGTGGGCGGGGCGAAGTCGGGTCATTGGTTGTCTTGGGGTCTTCCCCACACGCCGCGGGGCCTGAAGGGCTTAGCTGGGTGGCCTTGGGCCTGGTAGTGGTGGCGGAGTCTGGCGCCGAGCGGGGGGGGGCCTTATCAGGGCCCCGGGACGCGTCGTGGGAGTCGGGGGGCGTCTACAGGACGCTCCCAAAAGGACTGGGGGCGTCCACAGGGCCTGTCCGAGACTGGGGCCTATCCTCGGTCATCTGGCTGGCCTGGGTGGTGTCTGAAGGCACTAGATCGTCTGTTTGGGCTGACCGGAGGCTGGGGTCTGTTCTGTGGATTCTGGGGCCATCTTGAGATCTTGAAATCGGTTTTTAGGGGTGAGGGAGGTCTGCAGAGCCACCTAGAGTGCCTCGAGGGGTGTGTGTTAGGGATGTGAGGGGTCCACACGGACTTGTCTAAGGCTGAGGCTCATCTACAGGGTCTGGGGCCATTTAGCGGGCCTGGAAGGTAGTAGTCAAGGGCTTAGGACCCTCCAGAGGGGATGGATGTGCCCAGCAAAGTAGGAAGACAGATACTGAGATGTATTGAGAGGTCTGGATGGCTCTCCAAGATCTGAAAAAGTGGCTAATCTGGGTGACAGAAGGCTGGGACGTTTAGAAGGGCCTGGAACCATCTAGGTGGCTTTGGGTGTGACTCCTGAGGTTTGGGTTCAGTCATAGAAGTAAGTACCTGGGAGTATATCTGCCAGAATGCAGACTTTAGCCTGGAGGAAATTCAAATGCTTTTTGCTGCTCAGAGAACAAGACAAAATAAGTTGTGAGAAATTGTCCCCAGCTGAAATGTACGTGGCCTTCAAAACGTAATTCCAAGGGAAAATGATTTTAAATGATGTGTTGCCTGGGGTTGTAGAGGCTGTGTTGCCCATGGACATCTGGGAAAGTCTAGAGGACCATCTAGCCCACTGTGTTTCAAACTCTTGTGACCTTGATCATCCATAAGAAATATGGTTTTCATTGAGACCTATCACATACCTCTGGTAGTGTAGTGGTTACGAGTCGGGCTGCCAGCCTCAAGGTTAGCAGTTCGAAATTACCAGTGGCTCCGCAGGAGAAAGATGAGGCGTTCTGCTCCCATAAAGTTTTACAGCTTCCGAAACCCTGTGCAGGGTCACTATGAGTTGGAATCAATTTCACGGTACTTAACAACAACAACATCACGTACCTACATACCTTCATTACTGAATACCAAAGTTCACGAAGTTGCATTTCCACTTACTCCTTATAATGCCAAGCTGGGCTGCTAACCGCAGGTCATCAATTTGAGCCCACCAGCTGCTCCACAGGAAAAAAGATGCCACAGTCTTTTTGTAAAGATTTACCATCTCCAGAAACCGTATGGGGCATTTAGTCGAAATGTTCTTGATGGCAGTGGCTTTTTTTCCCTTTGAATACATACTGAAGACTTTATCAGTGACTTCTGTTAAATTTTGTTAAGCTGTCCAGTGAAGTACTCAACTGTGCCCAGTCCCTATTGTTGGGGGAAACACTGCTCTAGAGAGTCTGGAGGACCTTCTCATGTCAGGGTGGGGGTTTGCTGGCAGGTCCACAGTGCCTGGGACATGTCTGCAGGGACTGGGAGTCAGCTGGACTTGCTGGAGTTTCTTAGGTGACTTCTCTGACCAGTGCTGGAGAGCAGCTCTTAGCGGGGAGCTGTCCACTAGAACAGAGGAGATGGATAAATATTCAGGAAAGAGGCCTGTGTCTTTGTAAAGGGCAGGCAACAGCTCCATTGCAGGTGGCCATACTTCTAGAGCCAGGGAAGGGACCCGCAGTCTTGGAGCCTCTGAGGCTGAAGGTAGGGCTTTGGGATCACTTAGCAACCTAGTGGGAGCAAGACCTGGGTCGAGGAGGTCTTTTCTTTGTAGGTGTGCAGCTGCGGGAAAGCAAGTGAAGATTCTGGGACTTATATTGAGCACATAGATGTGCCCCATGTGTGGCAGGGGTCAGTCCTGTTTAAATCCTCAAATGGGTCCTATCATTTGGCTCGTCTTCCAAAGAAAGTCAACTGAGTTGGGTTGTTAGGGATCCCACAACGTGCCCGGAATCTTTGTTTGCAAAGTGGCAGATTTGTGATGACTGGGAGCACCTACTGGTAAGGTGGAGGGTCAGAGAAAAAGGAAGACCCCAGTGAGATGGATTGGCAAAGTGGCAGGATCAATGGGCTCAAGTGTGGCAACAATTGTGAGGTTGGCCCAGGACCGGGCAGTGTTTTTTATGTTGTACATAGGGTCGCTATGAGTCGGTACTGACTCGACGGCACCTAACAAAAATAACAACTGCCAAAGTCATCATATTTCCTGAACCCCACTAATCAAGGTATCCTACCCAACTGAAAGATGGCTTTTCAACTCCCTGCGTCAGCAATACATGTAAAATTTCTGTGACCTTCTCCAGGTCACTGCGGGGTGTCGGTAGGACAGGCAAGAGGATAGTATGTGCCCTTGAAGGGTAGCGATTTAGGGTCAAAAGGGGCAGGCAGGTTTTGCAGACCACTCTGCTAGTTCCACCTCAGCGTTAAGCCTGTGGATACATTTCTGGTCCCTTACCATTGGGGAAAGCTGATCTGTGGAAAGCCTCCTGAGTTTGAGGCATGGTGCCGAGGGCCCCCTGGTACCTGGGCAAATACTTCTGGATTCACGGGATCAGGGAACACAGTATTTGACATCACAACTCAACAGAATATCTGGTGTTGGCGTGGCTCCGTCGAGGATTGGGAACAAGATCTCGGAGTTTGACTAGATTGTTGGGGAAGCTGTGGGGACTGAGGATGGGGTGTTGGGATCAGAGCCTGGGTGGGTCTCCTTTCCACAGAAGAGACAGCTAAAATCCAGGAGGGGGAGAGAACCACTCCCATCTCTCTGGTGGGAGGACTCACTTGGGTTTTGGGGGGCTACTGGGATGGGACTGGGAAGAAGAGGGCACCCTGCAATCAGGACTCCAGTCGGGACCACATTGGAGGACCAGGAGACTGTTGTGTGCCACCCCTTCTACTCCTGCACTGCCCCTCTTCCAAACTTGTCCCCCAACCACCAGGTGACCATGGAGGAGGATGATGAGTCTCGAGGGAAGACGGAGGAGTCGGGTGAGGAGCGGGGTGACGGTCCACCAGACAGAGACCCTACGCTTTCTCCTTCCGCGTTTATCCTGGTGAGGCTGGAAATAGCGGAGGAAGGGGCTGGGAGTCTACATGCCAGAGGCCATTGGGTGTCTCCCTGGGAACAGGGATCGGAGCTTTGACCCCCGTTTCTCTGTCTGGTCTCCTCTCTCTGCAGCGGGCCATTCAGCAGGCAGTGGGGAGCTCGCTGCAGGGGGAGCTGCCGAACGAGAAAGGTAGGATGGCTTCTGGTGTCCTAGCTCCCGGCCACATCTCTGCATGCTTCCACTCCAGCACATTGTTTCTGTGGAGACCTCCAGGGTGCCATAGATGGACTCAGGATCTGGTGGAGAGGAAACCGAACCACCAGGCAGGATGGCAGGTGCTATAGTAGAAGAAGTACCCACTGTTGGGGGCGTGAGGCCCACCAGAGTGAACGTGGCAGGAGGTGGGATCAGGGAAGACTTCAAGGAGGCCACAGCCATACTGGGTCTCTAAGAACATGTTAGAGCTGCCAGCTGAAGAGTGCCTCAGGGTGGGAGCAAGGGGAAGTGGGACAGTCAGGGAGGTCATGAACAGAGCTTGTCTCAGATGCCAAGCTGAAGCCTTTGGGCTTCCTGCAGATGTGGCGAAGGACAGATAAGTGAGTTTGTGGTCCACCAGGAATCCTCTTCTGGGGCATGGAGGACATCCTCTGGGGCCTGAGTGGGGAGGCCACCAATCCTGCTCCTCTTTCCCCTCCTTCCTAAGAGCTGCACCTTGACCCCTGTCTGCAGACCCTACATGGTTCTCTCTCTCCAGATGGCTCCCGGTGTTATGGCCTACGTTGGAGGCGCTGCCGGAGCCCACGGTCAGAGTCCCGTACCCAGGACTCTGGGGGGACGGACACAGCTGCTGTGAGTAAGGAGAGGGGGCCGGGGCCCAGGCTTTTGGGTCCAAGGGAAGAGGGGGCTGGGATTCAGGACTCAGGTTTTGATGGAGGGAGGGGTTGGGGCTATGCCTGAATTCTGGAGGCCTTCAGGGTAAGGGGTCAGGTTGGACAGTTGTGTTTCCCAGTGGTCTCCTGTCATACTTCCTGAGAGGTAGGGGTTGTAGAAATGGGACTTGTGGATCGTGCATGGGTGGGGACAGCGTGGAACTTACCTGGCCTGTTTCAGGTGTTGGACATGGCCGCAGACAGCTTCCTCGCGGGGCTGGTGAGCGTTCTGGAACCCCCTGACACCTGGGTGCCTAGCCGTCTAGACCTACGGCCTGGCGAGTGAGTACTGGGCAGAAAGAGCGGAAGGGGCTTCCTGGCGTGGGGGCAGGAGGCAGTCCCAGGCTCACTGCCCCTTCCACCTTGCAGAAGTGAGGACATGCTGGAGCTGGTGGCTGAAGTCCGCATTGGTGACAGGGATCCTGTCCCTCTGCCCGTGCCCAGCCTGCTGCCCCGTCTCCGGGCCTGGAGGACGGGCAAAACGGGTATGTGGGGCCAGGGTAGGGTGGTGGTGGGGGACTTGGCTTGTCGTTGTTTTTATTGGTTAACTGTAGCAGCAACTACATCACTTAGACCATTAGTTCCATACTCTTAATGCTTTCTTCCTGTATGAGGACAATAAGCCCGTCTGACGCACACAGTAAAAAGTGACCTGAGAGCTGCCACGCCCCAGCAGTGTGGTCACGTGGGGCACTGCGTAGTCACCTAAGTGCCTGGACAGTCTGCCTCCCAGGATGGACACTCTTTAGCATTTTCTTTCACATAAGGCACATGTTCCGTGTCACACAACAGGTTGTTCATGGTAGACCGACTCAGTCTGTTTGAGTCTGTTGTCCATTATCCAAACAAAGGCCTGCTCCCCACCCCATTTCTAGGGGTTCCTTGTGAGCAGTTCAGATCATGGTTCAGACTAGAGTGGTGTCGGGGCCCCCCCAGGACAGGACTGGGAACCTGCATTTCTCACAAATTCCCAGGCGATGCTGCCATTGCTGCTGTCTCTGATGTTGGCACTGAGACCAAGGCACACAACAGGGCTTCAGGAGGCTTGTGGGAGAATTCCATTGTTTTTTATTCCATTTTCCCACGAACTTACTGAAGCCCCCTCACATTTACTGGGGGCTAGGAAAGAGGCCAGAAAGGTGGAGGTGGCGCTGGAGAAGCATCTCGCAGGCCTGCCCCTCCTTGTCAGGTCACGGGTGTCTGGCCCCTGTTTCACAAGACACACAGGATCCAGAGACCCATGCCCGGAGATCTTTGTTTCTTCTCCGTTCAGAGGAAAGAGCCATGGTAGTGCCATGGTTAAATACTCAGCTGCTAACCAACAGGAAGGCGGTTTGAATCCACCAGCGGCTCCCTAGGAGAAAGCCCTGACGATCTGCTTCCATAAATATGATAGCCTAGCAAACCTTAGGGGCAGTTCTCCTCTGTCACACAGGGGAGGGTTGTGGTGAGTGGGAATCCACTTGATGGCATGTGACCACAACACAATCAGAAGCACCAGTGGGCTGTAGTTACCAGGATAAGTAGATACTAAGGAACTCAGCCTGCTTGATTTTCATCGTACCCCATTACTGTCAAGTCAGTTCCAACTTGTAGGGACCCTTTGTTGGTGTTAAGCGCTACTGAGTCAGTTCCAACTCAGTGCCCCTTTTGAGAGTTTCCGAGGATTGGCTGGTGGGTTTGAACTGCAGACTTTGCAGCTGGCTGTCCAGTGACATATCAGGAACCCTATAAACCACGGTCTTTTGTGGTGTTCCTTTGATGGAGGCAGGAGCCTACAAAAGTCACATTTGGGCCGACGTAACGGCATGAGTCCCCCGCGTGTAGCTGCAACACAGTTCGGCTCTGTAGTGGCAGCCACCTCCTGTGTGGCCCGAGGCTCTGTGCTGGGCATTTGTTACCTGCCTCAGGCACCCCAGGGGCCACCTCTGAGACATAACCTTGCTGGAGTAGTGTGGCGTGCAACCTTGTCATCAGTATTTGCTACAGGAGTAATAGTAACATCTGCAGCTCAGAAAATAAATTCTTGTTCTGAAAGATGTTCCTATAGCGTAATAACCTAAGGCCATTGAGTTGATTCTGACTCATAGCGACACTGTCTAGGGTTTCTGAGTTATAAATCTTTACTGAGCTGACAGTCTCACCTTTCTCCCTCAAAGCGGCTGGTGTATTTGAACCACCCACCTTGCAGTTAGCAGTCCACAGTCTAACCCACAATACACCAGGGTTCTTTATAATGTAATAACAGTTTTAATGAAAATGATTTCAGCCAGGGTCAGCAAACTTTTCCTTGAAGAAGGAGCGGACAGTAAATGTTTCCATAGCATCTTTGTCGTAAGGACTCTACTCTGCCCTCATAGTGCTAAAGTGGACTTCTCTCGAATAATGTCTGTAAATGTGCCTGTGTTCCAGTGAAACTTTATTTACAAAAAAACAGCTCTGGGGCCAGATTTGCACATACACCCCCACCCCCCAGCCTGTGGTTAACAGGTATATATGGACTAGCAGGGGTTTTCAGGGGTGGGTGGTCTTTTCCTTCTTAGCTGTTTTCAGTTGGAATGTATCACTGTAATTAGTTGCTGTTGCCTCTTTTCCGACTCATGGCGGTCATCCACGTGTGATTGATTCAGAGGGTTTTCAAGGCTGGGACCTTTCAGGAGTAGGTCGCCAGGTCACTTTCTGAGCTGCCTCTGGGAGGATTTGAACTGCAAATCTTTCCGCTGGTAGTTGAGTATGTAACCATTTGTGTCAGCTGGTCACTCCTCATAGACCTCACATTTGGTTCCCAAATCTGAGCCCACCTCCATCACTTGAGTGCATTTGCAGGGAATTTTGTGTTTGTTTCGTTCACCTGCCCAACCAGAGCCCCTGCACAGTACATGCCTCAAGACGGGTGGTCAGTAAAAATGTGTAGGCAGGATGGAGGAATCCCCCTCCAGTGATGTCATTCTGCTCTGGTTTTGCTGTTCAAAATCCCTTGTTGACGAGGAGGACAGAGGTGGAACAGAGGTATTGCCTGGTTTGTCTGAGACCAAGTTGCTAGTGAGGACTGGTGCATGGTGGGAGAGCCAGGAGGTGATTCTCAGCTTCTGCTCCTGATGCCAGCTTCCGGCCTTGCAGTGGTGGTAGCGAGCAGAACTACATCATGTGGAACGTGTGGCCGCAGGCTGGAGGTTTAGCCCAGCCACCAGTGGCAGGGCAGCCTTAGTCTCTGAGTGTGAGGTGAGACTCTGGTGTCCCTAGTCAGTGAGATCGCTGGATGGCTCAAGCCACTCCTCCGCCCCTGGTCTGTTGATGGGAATTCACCTTCTTTTCTTTGCACAGTACCCTCTATAAAGCAGGGCCGCTCCCTCAGAGATAGCAGGCCAGGGCCCTGGTGGCCGACTGAAGCAAGAAGCGGGGGGTTTCCCTGTCCCACCTCAGCCTCCTCGTTTGTTTTTCCTCAAAAGAGTTCCGAGGCTTCGAGGAGACCAGGGGTTCCTGCTCTGTCCCAGTGCTGGGGGGTGCAGGTTCCAGAGCAGGTGGACTGGGTTTGACCCTGACACTGCCCCTGCTCTCTGCATGACATTGGACTAGATGCCCTCTGCCTCAGTTTCCTCCTGTGAGCTGCTGGTCTCTGCACCTGTTATGTGGTGTTGGGAGTTGTATGTGTGCTGCTATACAAAGAGGAGAGTTGTGTGCTGTGTGAGAAGGTACTGGCTTGTCCTGTGGCATCTGTCACCCCTGACCTCTTGCTGTCCCCCATTCTGTTGCAGTTTCTCCACAGTCTCACGCGTCTCAGCCCACCTGTGCCCGCCACCTCCTGACCTTAGGCACCGGAGACGGGGGCCCTGCCCCTCCCCCTGCCCCCTCTTCTGCCTCTTCCTCCCCTTCCCCTTCCCCCTCATCATCCTCACCATCCCCTCCGCCACCCCCACCTCCCCCAGCACCCCCCGCCCCAACTGCTCCACGATTTGACATCTACGACCCTTTCCACCCCACCGACGAGGCCTACTCCCCACCCCCTGCTCCAGAGCAGAAATATGACCCTTTTGACCCCACCGGCTCCAACCCCAGTTCCTCAGCTGGGACCCCCTCACCAGAGGAGGACGAAGAAGAGGAAGAAGAGGAGGAGGAGGAGGAAGGTCTGTCGCAGAGCATCAGCCGTATCTCGGAGACCCTCGCGGGCATCTATGATGACAACAGTCTGAGCCAGGACTTCCCAGGCGAGGAGAGTCCCCAACCGGACCCCCCGCCCCCGGCTCAGGCACCAGCTACCCCACCCCAGGTGGATTCTACACGCACTGATGGGGCCACCCGCCGGCGCGTCTTTGTGGTGGGGACTGAGGCGGAAGCCTGCCGGGAAGGCAAGGTCTCCGTGGAGGTGGTGACTGCCCCGCCAGCCCCGGCCGAGCCTGAGATTGAGGAGGGTGAGATCGTGCAGCCCGAGGATGAGCCCCGGCTGACGCTTCCCGCCCTCTTCCGGCCCCCACCACAGCCCCCCGTGGCCCGGGCCCCTGAGGGTGACGACTTCTTGTCCCTGCACGCCGAGTCCGACGGCGAAGGGGCTCTGCAGGTGGACCTTGGAGAGCCGGCCACTGTCCCACCAGCCGCCGACACACGCTGGGGGGGCCTGGATCTCCGCCGTAAGATCCTAACACAGCGGCGCGAGCGCTACCGTCAGCGCTCAGCATCCCCGGCCACCACTGCTGCCACAGCTGTTCCTGCCTCCGGGCCTCCCGCCCGTAAGAAGTCCAAGCGGGAGCACAAGCGCCACGGAGGCAGTGGTGGGGAGGCCAAGGAGGCTGCCTCATCCTCGGCCGGCACCCAGCCCACTGCACCCACCCCCACCCCTGCTGTTGCCACCTGGGACTCCAAGAAGCACCGCTCACGGGACCATAAGCCAGGCTCCCATGCCTCATCCTCATCCCGCCGCCGCTCCCGCTCCACCCGCCGCCGTTCGCGCTCCCGCAGCACTGAGCGCCGTCGTGGGGGTAGCCGCCGCTCCCGCTCCCGGGAAAAGCGGCGCCGAAGACGGCGCTCAGCCTCCCCGCCACCAGCCACCTCCTCTTCATCATCATCCCGACGGGAGCGGCACCGTGGCAAGCACCGGGAAGGCGGCAGCAGTAAGAAGAAGAAGAAGCGGTCAAGGTCAAGGGGGGAGAAGCGGTCTGGGGACGGCAGCTTGGAGAAGGCCTCGGGCCTGGTGCCTCTGGCTTCAGGTTTGTCCATATCGGGTAGCGAGCGGGACAGCCGCCGCCGGGGAGCCGTGCCACCCTCCATCCAGGACCTCACGGACCATGACCTGTTCGCCATCAAGCGCACCATCACGGTGGGCCGGCCTGACAAGTCTGAGCCTCGGGGTGCCTCGCCGGTCCCCACCTCGTCGCCCAAGCGTGAGGTCCTGTACGACTCGGAGGGACTGAGTGGCGACGAACGGGGTGGTAAGAGCAGCGAGAAGGACCGGCGCCGGGGGGCAGCTTCCTCCTCCCGCGAGAAGGGGTCCAGGAGGAAGGTGCTGGATGGGGGCGACCGGGACAGAGACAGGGACAGGTCATCCAAGAAGGCCCGACTCCCCAAGGATTCAGGGCCTCCTTCAGGGCCCCCGCCAAAGGCAGTGAGCAGCGGCTCGGGCTCGTCCTCCTCCTCGTCCTCCTGCTCCTCACGGAAGGTGAAGCTGCAGTCCAAGGTGGCCGTGCTGATCCGGGAGGGCGTCAGCAGCACCACTCCAGCCAGGGAGGCCGCCTCGGCTGGCCTGGGCTCCATCGGTGTCAAGTTTAGCCGAGACCGGGAAAGCCGTTCACCGTTCCTGAAACCCGATGAGCGGGCTCCCACTGAGGTGGCCAAAGCTGCACCGGGCAGCACCAAGACCAAGAAGACCAAGGTCAAGGCCAAGGCTGGGGCCAAGAAAGCCAAGGGGACCAAGGGCAAGACCAAACCATCCAAAACTCGGAAAAAGGTCCGGAGCAGTGGGAGCGGCAGTGGCCCCGTGACGCTGAAGAAGTCTAAGGCGGACAGCTGTAGTCAGGCTGCTGGGACCAAGGGTGCTGAGGAGACATCTTGGTCCGGGGAAGAGCGGGCCGCCAAAGTGCCCAGCACCCCACCTCCCAAGGTGGCCCCTCCACCGCCTGCACTCACCCCCGACTCACAGACCGTGGATAGCAGCTGCAAGACACCCGAGGTCTCCTTCCTGCCTGAAGAGGCCACTGAGGACACTGGGGTTCGGGATGGAGCAGAGGATGAGGAGGAGGATGAGGACGAAGAGGAGGAGGAGGAAGAGGAAGAGCAGCAGCCAGCCACCACCACAGCCACCAGCACAGCTGCAGCTGCCCCCAGCGCTGCCCCTAGTGCGGGCTCTACTGCTGGCGACTCTGGGGCTGAGGATGGGCCGGCTGCCCGCGTATCCCAGCTGCCCACCCTGCCCCCACCCATGCCCTGGAACCTGCCGGCAGGGGTGGACTGCACCACCAGTGGGGTCCTGGCCTGTGAGTGTCTCTGTGGGCTATGGGGAGTGTCCGCGTACTGCGGGAGAGGTCATCCCAGACTTGGGGGCATGGCACATATACCTGAAGCTGGATAGGGAGGGACTTGTGGGAGGAGCAGGAGAATGGGGTGCTTGTGGGAGCCGGCCTCTTAAAAGGCCAGTGGCCCCTGCCAGACCCCAGAGATGGGGAGAGAGGTCAGGCCTGGGTATGGGAGTCTGGAGACAAGACCTCACTTCTGCCACCACTTGGTCACTGAATGACCAGGCCATGCATCTCCCCATCTCCATACCAGTGAGCCCTGAGAACATGCCAGGTGGGTGGGGTTCCTCCGCAGCCAAGGCTCTCCCTGCTTTCAGCTCTGAGTATGAGGTCATGTAGCCTGCCAGGGACCCAGCCAGGGTGGCCTGCACTGGTGGGGTTGGTCACCCCTTCCTCACATGTTGACTTCTGTTTCTTCCTCCTTCTGCTGTCCTTCACTCCTCACAGTGACTGCGCTGCTCTTCAAGATGGAGGAAGCCAACCTGGCCAGCCGAGCAAAGGCCCAGGAGCTGATCCAGGCCACCAACCAGGTGGGTTCTGGGGAGGGATCCCTGCAACCTCTCCTCTGGTCCTCAGCCTCCGTCCAGGAGAGGAACTACAGCTCCCAGCAGGCTTTGGGGCAAGTTATCAACCACAAGAAGAGCCTGTGGCTCCAGGGCTGTTGGGAACAGGGTGGGTAGGGTGCACATTCCTGCCTTTCATCTCATTTCGTTTACTCTTCCTTCCTGTACCTTCTTCCCATAGATCCTCAGCCACAGAAAACCCCCCTCAGGTCTGGGGGTAACCCCGGCTCCTGTGCCCACCTCTCTGGGCCTGCCTTCCGGCCCCTCCAGCTATCTGCTTCCCGGCAGTCTCCCCCTGGGTGGCTGTGGTTCCACCCCGCCCACCCCCACGGGGTTGGCGACAGCGTCTGACAAGAGAGAAGGTAGCAGCAGCTCTGAGGGACGTGGGGACACCGACAAGGTAAGCTGGATTTGGGGGGTGGGCTCTGGCAAGGACAGGGAAAGTAACAGAGCTTGAAATGCAGGGGCCCAAAAGGAGTGGCTGTGCGGGACATGAGCCAACAGGGGCTTTGAAAACCCCTTATGAGATTGTGTGGAGCTGGAATCCCACTCAAATGGTGAATGGAAAATGGAGGTGGGGCCCATTCAAAAAATAGAAACAGACTCTCCTCATTATTCATCCCACATACGCAACTTCGCCTGTTCACTCCAGTCTCTCTAACCCCAATGGTTATCCCCCTCAGTACTCTGCTAGCCCCTCACACACCCAGTACCCAACTGTGGTGGAACAAGGCTACGGAAGTCCTGCCGCCTTGTTCCTTCTGGCAGCTACAGCCTGTAAATATATCCTTTTCTCCATCTATTTCATGCCACATTTTTCCTGAGGATTTCGTGGTTGCAAACAGCTCCTGAGCACAGTGCACATATTGAGAAAAGACGTAAGATCAGTGAGCTTCACTCAGGTTCCACAAGTGGTAGTGCTGCCAACCCTGAGTTAGTGTCCATGATGAATTAGCACCTTGGGGCGCTGCAGGATAAACACTGGACAGTAAAGGTCGGCAGTTCAAACTCACCAGCTGCTCCTTGGAAATCCTGTACGGGGTCACTATGAGTCAGAACCAACTCGATAACACTTAACAGCAAGAACAAGATACACAGGGGTCCTGGTGTGCTGCTGCTATGGACTGAAAGGTTGATTTGAACCACAAGATTGGCAGTTCAAACTTTCCAGCCACTCCTCGGAAACTCTAAATAGGATCACTATGAGTTGGACCAACTCGACAGCACTTAACAACAATTAGATACACAGGGGTCCTGGTGTGGCACTATATATGACTGACTGCTAGCCATAAATAAGGTCAGCAGTTTAACCAATTGCTCTGTGGGAGAAAGATGAGTTGTCTGCTTCAGAAAAGTTTAGTTAGAGAAATGCAACGGAACACTGTTACTCTGTCCTGTAGTCCTGGTGTAGTGCTGTAGGATAAGCATTAGACCGCAATTCAACTTGAACTGCAAGGTGGAGGTTCAAACCCACCAGCTGCTCCTTGGAACTCTTATACAGGGTCACTGTGAGTCAGAACTGACTCTACGGCACTTAACAACAATATGGGTTCGCTATGAGTTGGAAACGACTCGAAGGCAGTGGGTTTATTAGCTATATGAGGTGAGGTCTTGGCCAGTTGATGAAAGGACCAGAGGTTCACAGGAACCTAACCCTGTATGTTTCCTAGGAACAGTGCTTCTGTATTCAGTAATCAGGTGTTTGTAGTGACTATAGAAAATACTGACAAAAGCCTCCTTGAACATACATTGTTGTGTGTGTGTATGTATACAAATGCCCTCCCCCCCAGTTACCCCCAATACCCTCTTGGAGCAATGGTTAAGCACTTGACTTTGCTAAAAGGTTGGCTGTTCCAAGCCATCTAGCAGCACCACAGAAGAAAGACTTGGTTATCTGCTTCTGTAAAACTTGTTGCTAAAGTGCTGTCAAGTGAGTTCCGACACATGGTAAGCCTGTATAGGGCTTCCGAGGAGCGGCTGGTGAGCTTGAACTGCGACCTTGCAGTCCGTCGCATTAACCTGCAGCGCCACACCAGCCTAGAAAATCCTAGTCACTGAGTCGGAATTGACTCAACAGCACCCCACAACAGCAGGCTTAACCCACCCTTTTGTAAAATAAATCTCTGGTTGTGAATTGAGTGAAGGTTTACAGAGCAGATCATTAACTTTACATTCAATAAATCATGTATTTTGCTTCATTAAAATGATTTCAATCCCCTAGTAGCATAGTGCTTACAAATCGGGCTGCTAACATCAAGGTCGGCAGTTCGAAACTACCAGCCATTCTGTGGAAGAAAGATGAGGCTTTCTGCTCCCTTAAAGATTTACAGCCTTGGAAACCTTGTTACAGGGTCGCTATGGGTTAGAACCAACTCCACCACCGCCTGTGTACCAATGATTAACAGGATTTCCCTCTATTCACTTTAACTCTTGCTCCTCCTGCTACCTTCATCTGTCCTCAGCGAACCTCCCTCTTGCATATGGTCTGCCCTGATGCCCATGTTAACAGGTGTCTACCTTCTAGCTAATGAATGATTTTCCCTCTCCCCTCTCCCAGAAACCATCACAGAATGTTTCTTTTATCAAGAAACCCTTTTCTTAACTCTTTACAACAGTGATCTTATACAGCATCTGTCCTTTTGTGATTGACTAATTTCACTCAGTGTCCTGTCCTCCAGGTTCATCCATATTAAAAGGTGTTTCAGATTCACCCGTATTCTTCAGTGTCGCCGAGCATTCCATTGTGTATATGTTCCAAAGTTTGTCTACCCATTCTGTTCTGTTGATGGGCATTTAGGCTGTCTCCATCTTTTTGATGTGTCTGTTGTAGACAGTTATTGAAGTACCTGTCCTGTTTCCTTTTCCGTTCTGCTCTGTCTCTTGACCGCTCCATTTATTATCTGTAGGTATGATTTGATTGCTTTCATTTTGCTGTGTGGTGTTTGTGGTGCCGCTGGCTTCTTTATATCATTTTCTATACTGAGCTCATTTTGTTTGTGGATGTAACTTTTCATTTTTATTTCTGTTGTGTTAGTGTTTACTAAATCTTTCTATTTTCATCTTTTTTAAATTTGATGTGCAGGTGTATTAATCTTGAGGTTACCCTATAATTTAATAATTTTTTCCCCTGTTTAAAGCAGTCTCTTATATCCTGAAATCTACTTGATTTCCTTGCCATCTGGAAGTTTTGTATCTACCCTGTTCCTCATTTTGCTTTGTAGTTGACTTCATTATAAATTGTTACCTCTGGTTCCCTATTTTCAGTCTTGAGTTCTGGGTGGTGTTGTCATGTATGGTAATCACAAGTTGATGTTTGCTGTTGGTTTTTGGAAAGCTGCTCTGGTCATTACAAAATCCTTTAACTTCTGTTCCTCAGGAAATGGCCTGATTTCATCATCGTATTTGAGGGACAGCTCTGCTGAGTGTATGATTCTTGGTTGGCAATATTTTTCTTTAAAAGTTTTGTATATGTTGTCCCATTGCCTTTCTTGCCTGCCTGGTTTCTGCTGAGAAATCAGAACCTCGTCTTACTGGTTCTCCTTTGTAGATAACAAACTTTTCGTTTTTCCCAAGCTGCTCTCAGGATTCTTTCCTTGTCTTTGGATTTGGAAAGATTGATTATGATATATCTTGGTGATTTGCTCTTGGGATCTGCCCTGTCTGGGGTTCATTCAGCTTCTTACATGGTTTTCTTCTCCTTTTGTGTGATGTTAGAGAAGTTTCTTCCAACAACTCTCAACCATTTTCTCTGTGCTTTGTATTACCTCTTCCTGTTCTGTCATTCTGATCACCCAGTACGTCCTTCCTCTTCACGGTGTCCCACAGAACACTTAGGCTTTCTTCAGATTTTTCATCCTTTTCTCTGATTGTTCTTCTAGCATATTAGTTTTGTGAAATTTACCTTCAAACTCAGTAATCCAGGGTTCCGTTGCTTCATATCTACTCCTTTGCCCTTTCAGTGTATTGTTCATTTTTGAAATTTTAGTATTAGACTTCTGGATTTCTAATTGCAAGATTTGTACTGTTTGAAATTTGCATTTATTTTGTCCGTCTGTTCTTGCAGTATTTTCCTGAAATTTTCTAAAGTTTTTTTCTGTGTTCTCCTTGCTTTCCTCAAACCTTTTGTCAATTCTTTAAAAGTACCAAAATATCTTTAGGTATATAATAAAAAAAAAAAAAATTCTTTTGAATTGTTTTCAGTTAGTTTCATTACCTATTCTTCCTCAGAAACATTTTCTGGCTCTGCATCTTGGTCATTTGTTGGAGCCATTCTCTCTTGTTTCTTCATGTTTTTTATCTCCTGGGGATTGTGGGGTTGTCACATTTGTGTTTATTTGTTGATTAGATGTTGATGTGTTCTTAGGCTCTCATTAGCTGTCTCCTGTGAGTGTAGTCAAAGAAAGGAAGTGTGCACCGTTCTCATTCGCCGTTTGTGCACCTCAGTTTAGGGTGGGGTTGGCTGCTGTTGGCTGTTGATCGGGTGGTATAGGAGCTGGTATTGGCTCTTGCCCAGTGAGTGGCACTTCAGAGGGTACAGTGGTAGCTGGGCTGTGTGGGCACGTTTGCTGTCTCCTCTAGGGTCGGGAAGGAGAAACCCCTCCACACATACATACAAGAAAACAACAGTATAAACAAACAAGGAACCAACAATGAAGAGAGAAAATAATAAAGAGGAAAAAGAAAAGCAGCAACCAGAAAAAAGAACAAAGCAACTATGAAGACAGAAGAGGGGCAGAAAAAAAAAAGAGAGAGAAGATAAAAGGAAGAAATGAAAAAAAAACATTTAAGAGTAACTAAAAAGGGACAAGAAAACGGAGCTATAGAAGAGAAAATAAGAGAGGAAATAAAAAAAGGAAAGAAAATTTTTTTAAACACTTAGAAAAACCAGTGGGGGTGGGGAGATGAAAAAGAGTAGAGAGTAGTAAAAAAAGATCATAAGGGTAAAAGGAAGAGGGGAAATGAGAAACAGAAGAAAAGAAGGAAAAACAAAAGTAGAGATAGGGTAAAATTTAAGGGAGTGGAAAGAGAAAGAATAAACAAAACCACAGTGTAGCTGTTGGATCCGGAGAGGAGCAAACTGGGGGCTTCTGAAAGCCAGGGAGCTCACGAGGTGGGTGTGGGAGGGCTGGGACAGCGGAGTCCCTGGCCCTAGATGGAGTTCCTATTTCCCTCTGTGTTTATGTTCAGGACACTCAATTCCAGTAGTAGTTCATGGAGGCTCTTGATGGAGCTAGTTTCAGTGTTGTTAGGACCCCAAGACAGCTGAGAGCCAGGTGACTGGTTAAGTGTTGGTCTCTTGGTTCTGTGCGTTCAGTTGGTCCTAAGCCAAGCGCACCTGAATCCAAGCACCAAATCGCAGCAGCCGGCCCCTGCCTCACACTTGTGTGACTCGTGGCTCCAGACTTCTGGAGAGCAGGGTCTGCATGGGCTTGAGTGAAGGTGGACGGAGGGCACTTCTTGGGGGGGGGGGCATGGGGAAAAAGAAGGAATCACACATTGTCTCTCTCCTGTGTGACTCTCTTCTCCCAGGCCACCTTCTGTTTCTGTTGTCAAAGCTGCTCACAAAGGTTCAAGATCGTTGCGCTGCATCTGGCTGACTGGTCATTCAGCAGTCTCTGTCTCTCTCGCCATCCGTCTTCCCAGCAACCACTCAGTCCACTTCCCTCACTTACCTTCGGAAGTTCAGGGTTCCAGGATTTTCATCTGTCTGTTTTATTTGGTCTCTCATGTCTTTGTTGTAAAGGGTCTGTGTAGTTCATCTGCCTAGTCTGCCATCTTACTGAAAGTCCATTCTGAACCCTTCTTGACTAGCCAGTCCTCTCAGTCTGTCCATCTCTCTGTGTTTGTGGGAGAGGGTGGTTTTCTAAAGAAAACTCCAGATGCCATTTCTGGGCGGAAGCAGGAAGGATTATGCCAGGCAAACACAGACCTGGGTTTTTCACACACATCTGGCTTTGGGGGTGGTTTTCCTTTGGGTCTGAGCTAGCTGATATTGGTCTAACCACCTGTAGCCAAGTGGCCATGCCACCCACCCCCACCACGATGTGACTACCAGAGGGGAGGTAGAGAAATCCTTCCCCCCCCCCCCCAAGAAGTGCCCTCCGGAGGACAGGTGGATGGTATACAGCCCAGCCCAGCCCAGTGCAGCCGGGTTAGGAGGTCAGGAAGGGCCTGCCTTTGTCAGGAAGGATCCCTTCTCAGCCCTTTGTCCTTCTTTACTGTATCTGACAGTGTTGGGGAAGAGACCCCTTTCTGTGGGTCCTAGCAGGCAGGCTTGGGTGTCCCAACAGAAGAGTCTGTCTCAGTTTACCAGTTCTCATCTTGCCTCAGCCCTGAGGTGGGAGGGTGACGGCGCCCAGCTCCAGGTGGGTGTTGTGGAGGCTGGGGCTCCATCAGCTGGTATTCCTGCCTCTGCTGAGCTCTAGCCATGGGCTGGGCTTCCTGGGAGGCCTGCTTTCTCCCTGCTCCCTGTCCATCCCTTCCTGGTCCCCTCAGGCAGCCACCTCAGAGCAGCACCAGGACTTGGGGTCTCTGCTCGGGCCCTGGGGTACATCCTCCATGTACTGATGTCTTCAGTCAGGCTTCAGGTCCCACCACGCCACTGAGCCTGACATCTACGTAGCACCCCAACTTAACCACACCAGCCTCTCCTGGGCTTCCCTTTCCCTCAGACTCCTGAGCTCCCTCCACTGTCCTTGCTCCAGCCCTGCTGTACACTCAGTAAACCCTAACTAAGTAGGACCTTCCACCTCAAACTGTAGCTGACTCGTCACGGAGGCGGAGGCTGGGTTCACTGGGACTTGAGTGACCTTCTGTGTCCCTTCTTTCCCGCCACCCCCTACCGGCAGTACCTGAAGAAGCTGCACACACAGGAGCGGGCTGTGGAGGAAGTAAAGCTGGCCATCAAGCCGTACTATCAGAAGAAGGACATCACAAAGGAGGAGTACAAGGACATTCTGAGGAAGGCCGTCCACAAGGTGGGCTGCAGACAGGCCAGGGTGGGAGCCAGGGACCATGCAAGTTAAGGTGTTGGGATGGCATCACCCCTCCACACATACTCTGCCCCACTGGTGACGTGAGCTCTGTTGTAAGGAGGGATGAATGGGGGACATGGGTCTGAACGTTGGGGACCAACTCTCATCCTTGTTCTAAGCTGAGCGCTCTGATCCCAGGGGGTGGGTCTCACAGGGTGGCGGTGACTCCAGCTGCCCCCTCATCCCCCCAGATATGCCACAGCAAAAGCGGGGAGATCAACCCGGTGAAGGTGAGCAACCTGGTGCGGGCCTACGTCCAGCGCTACCGCTACTTCCGCAAACATGGCCGCAAGCCAGGGGACCCTCCAGGGCCCCCACGGCCACCCAAGGAGCCGGGTCCCCCTGACAAGGGTGGCCCAGGCTTGCCCCTGCCCCCACTCTGAGGCTCTCAGCCATCTGCCCCTTACTCACCTCTTGGAAAATCTGGACATATTTATGGCTCAGCCTCCCCACTTCCCCTCCCCCGGTCAGTGGGATGATCAGGGGAGGGTTGCCGCAGGGAAGAGAAGAGCCCCCCATCCTGCCCAGCCTCCTGTCCCCCAAGCCTGCCCCCATTGCTCCCCTATGTTCATGCCCCTTGTCCTTGATTTCATTAAAGATTTCATGAAATATTACCCTGAGCCACGTGTTTACGCCTTCCTTCTCAGAGACAAACTTGGGGAGGGGTTGGCCTGAGCCTATAGGAAGGAGGCCAGGAGACTAGGTTCTGTAGAATTTGTGCAGTCTGTTCTCAGGTCTCAGTCTCCTCATCCATAAGATGGGTGACTGATAATACCTCCCTCAGGCCATTGTGAGGACACCCTAAGAATAATGCCCCATGCAAATGCTGTTGGTAAGCCTTAGTTGTTCATGGGTGGCGCTGGTGGTAGGGCACTCAGGGGTCCCAGATCCCACCTTACCAATATCTTTTTTTTTTTTTTTAAGGTTTTTATTGTAGATTGAGTAAAAGTTTACAGGGCAGATCATCAGTTTTACATTCAACAAATCATACACCTTGTTTCATTACAATGATTACAATCCCCTCCATGTACCATCAGTTACCAGTGTTTCTCTCTATTCACTTTAGCTTTTTTTTTTTTTTTTAAACACTCAGGCATATATAATAATTTACATCACCAAAGGGCACATTCTGTATGCCTGT